CCTAAATGGAAGTAATCTATAAATATATATTTTGATATGTTTCAAAATGGCAATGAATCTGATAATGAACATGAACAGCACCATAAATTTCAAAGAAAATATACTATCACATCTTTACACGTTACAATTTCTAAGGACTATATGATCAGCACTCAATATTTTTATAAAGATAAATATATACATTCAAATCGAAATGTAATCATTAACTACAGCCCCTTAATGGTTGAAACGCATGAGGGGAAAAATTAATTTGACTTCATGGCGAAGATGATTATTTGTAGTCTTTCTTTGACGGCTAAGGTCCTAACTGTATTTATGAGGGGGAAGGGAGATTGTTAGTAAAGGCGACTAGCGACCCCATTGGCTATTGAACCTATTATCATGTCATGCTTGTGTATACTGAAAACAAAAAATATTTACTAGAACAATTTTTTAAATAATTTCTAAAAATTAATTTATTATTTCACACTGAAAAGTGAAGCGGCAAAGAAATCAAAGATACCATTAAGTGGATTAGAAACCGCGAAAAATGCTGTAAATGATGATTGGAAGAAGTTAGGACGAATAACATTCTGGGAAATTGTAATACTAACTTTTTGTCGTATTTTTTACGCGAAGTGAATTGCGGTGTAGCTCCAAGCACTTATATTAAAATAAACAGTTTTCTACATCTGAGACCGTGTAACAGCTGGCCATTCTTCTGCAAAGACTATAAATTTTAAAAGTTCGGATAGCTTAAATCCGTACCTCTTGCAAAAATAACTTTTCCAAGCTTCAGATTCAGTTTGCGGGGAGTTTATATTTAGGGTTATCTAAAAACTAGCAAGCCGCTCCGGATTCGCACGTTTTTATTTAAACAAAATACAGCCCATATTACTAGCCGATAATGTACTATTGTATGTTATTTGCCGGCATAGTGTGATCAACAATTGAAAGTAAAACATCTCTTTTCGGTTGACCGTATTCATGGAGCATGTCGTCTTTGTCTTCGCTCAATATGATATCACATATTGTGTATAATAAAAAAACTAGTTAATTTTGACAATGTTCTAAAGTATTTTTTATTTACAGATGGTTATTATATTATTTAGTGTCTAGAAAATCGGAGCCAGTAAGAAAATTTTATTTATTTTTCATTATAAATATAATAAATAAATTGTAATTTTTAGTATACTCGAATCGACTGCTGCTGAATTTAGATATTTTCAAGAACTTTAAGAAAAATATCAGTAAATATTCAACTATTACTTTTTTTTAATAAGAAAAGACCATTGTTATTTGATAATACTATTTGAGGTTGAAACAATAATACTTTTTTGTGCTGTTATTTCAGATATTGAGGATTTACCTAAAACAAGTGTTCAATCAGTTCTAGACTGGAATAAATTAAATGCCAATATGTCCTATAGCTTCATGTTTCTTTTGGGTATGTTTATTAACCGTATATAACTTTACTAGTATCTGTTTATGTAATATGGTTCCTAATCCGCTATGACTAATGCTATTATGATACGTAATTTTCATAATACTGGCGTTAATATTAAGAATTATTGTCTAATATAAAATGGCATTGAAATTGTTTTAATTGCTTACGTTATATATGATTTTGTTTTCTTTCTAATCTGTATTGATATAATAAAGTGGAAGAGTTTGTTTATTTGTTTGAAAGAAGAAATTTTCAGACTGATAAAAACCAATTTTTAAACGAATTAGAACGTAACATTGACGCTCCTTTTCTCTTTGGGTTTGCTGGAAAAAAACTCTATTAGAGTTAAGCTCGCCCTTGTACATTTGATTACCTACCTATGTCATATTCTTATAACTGGTGTGTACAATAAAGAAGTCACAGACTAGGTTATTTTGTAAAGAAGACTTATTTTCCAAATAAACTCATGATGCATAACATTAGGTGATTTATCATGCAAATGTTTATAATATAAATAATGTTTACCAGGCTAAAGAAATAAATCAGAATCCATTATTGTATAACATAGCAGCTGGGTGTTCTGCTTCATACTGTTACTGTTTGCCAGTCGGGACACCTGGAAATCTAATTGTACACAGTGCAGTGAATATACCTACTAGAAAAATAGTAAGCTTAGAAGAATTTTTTTTTATTATCGCCTTACTGTACTTATACAATAATGTCGTTATATTTACTAATTGTTTTGTTTATTCCTTATATTGTATAATGCAAATAAAGTATACGTATTCATTTATTTACAGTCATCATTATGTCAGCCTACCTGTCCATTGCTGAACATAGGCCTCCCCCATAGATTGCTATAAGGAACGCTCCTCAGCCGCTTGTATCCACAGATTTTTTCTGCATTTGGGATCGTTACTCCTCTAGTTCATTCATTCATTTACAGTATTTACATGTAGGTGACAATTACTACTTTTAATCAGATGACTCGATAAATTATTTGTCATTCTAAATCATATAAAAATGTACTAAATTAATAATATCAAGATCTGAATATTCAAAAACACATATATAAGCTTTATTTAAATAACCTTGTTTACAAGCTCTTTAAAATCGTCGCATTTTATGATTCTAACGCCTGGTTCGAAATATTATCTGTTGAGAAGAACTCGTAAGAAACTCAACGCTTATGCTTTTTAAACTTTTTCGTGTGGATTAATATAGAAAACTGAGAACTTCAAATTATTTTATTGCGAAACGCTACAGAATAATTAATTTTAACGTCTAGTTTAGTTAATTTGCAGAGTTTTTGAAACACATTCTATGAAATTTATGTTTTGGCTGTTAATTAGACTGCATATACTTATTGATTTATATTGAGTGCATTATTTAAATGAAAACTTGTGTTTTTTGAATAAGTATATTTAAATACCTTTTTCACATTCAAACTGGTATTGAACCATCCATAACAACTATTATAATAATATGGATCGGAATATATTTTTGAGCTCCAGTTATATGGCCTGATTTGCACATTTTACCCAATTGGGTTAAGAAAATATAGCATTTTGATATATTATTAATACTATTATAACATATGGTATCTACTAATAATCAATATAAAATAATAGTATATTGATATTATTTCCTATGTAAAATATAAAAATAACTTTATACTTCTAACAGTAAAAAAATAATAGAATTGCGAGACATTTAATGTAATCTATAAGACCCATCCTAACCCAATTAAATATAAAATAAAGATATTACAAATATCCATTTGAGAAATCTCATTTAGGCAAAGTAGTCTGCCTACCACATATAGATAGATAGATAGATACTCTTTATTGTTTTCTTCAAAAGATTACAATAGTAAACTTATTATAAATATAAAAAATTACAAGAAATAATCACAATGAGAAAACAATGGGCGACCTTATCGCTAAGAGCGATCTCTTCCAGGCAACCTATTGGATGGAGAGGAGTAATTATGAACAATTTAGTGGGAGTCACAATGAAAAATTTTGTTAGTTCTAAATATGGGAGATGTGATACATATAATAATATAAATATTATCCCTACTCATTATATATATATACACACACACATATATATATATACATATATACATACTAACACATATACATACATATATACACATACGATAATGTATATACGATAGTCATTCAGTTAAAACAACTAAATTTTTATACATTATGCTTAATAACTAATTTCACAGTTGAATTAACAATAAAATCTACTATGGACAGAAATACGGTGTGTTGCCGGAGTAAGAATAATAAAATGTGTCACATATTATTTGCATCCCCAAGATGTTAATAGAAACGACTAAAGAAACACATTAGTATACACCGATATAAAATGTACATTTTATTTTGGATTTGGCCAAATGCCAGCATAGTAATAGTAGGCTGGTATCCTCCTCTTATGGGGAGGGTTCCGCGTCCAACGGTGGGATGTTAAGGGGTTATTACGTTATAGTTTTTTGTAATATCTTAGTTACAAATAACTTTAACTTATTTATAGGAAGAAAAACTTGCAGTGAGTTAGTAGACAATAACAATACTTTAGTTCTACAGTACAGTAGTTCTACAAAAAAAAACTTCAATTGTGGCAAAACTCGTTATTTTGATTTAAAAACTAAACTACTGAATCGATTTTGATAAAATTCCTATGGAATCAATTTAAATGTATTTCCTTTCAGAAAAAAGTAATAGTTTTCAAATCAGCTTATAACTGACGAAATTATAAGGTAACCAACATAAAAGAAATACCATAAAATTAGGAACTTCCTCCTTTTTTTGAAGTCCGTTGACAATGGAAGCGATTTTGGAAAACCATTTCTGTAATCCTATCTCTAAAATTTAATTCAATTTAATATCACTGTGAAATCTTTATGCTTATAACCTATGTATACAAAGCTATAGCAAACAAATAGTCTTCAATAAATATAAACATAAATTAAGTAGGAATATAAAGTATTTTATTGAATAGTTTGAAACAAAAATAACAATTTATCAATTTTATTTATTTTACTGCATTTTATTTATCCTTTAATTTTGTACTTTGACTGACACAGCTATAAACGTCTCATTTTTTTTATATTCTTCACATTTGGCTTGCTCCTTCCGTTGCTGTCTTTGTTAAATAGTATAGGTTTATAATAAAAAAAAAATTGGTGTAGAAATTTTTGAGAATATAAATTTATTGAACATATTATAAAATGTATACTCGTATATTTATGTAATAAAAAATTATATTTTTGTAATAAAAAAAAATAGGTAAAAACTTATGTCAAACCACTAAATTGATTATATTTAAAATATGTTTCTTTACAAATAAAGTTAATAACATTATTTTTGAGACCTGTGAGTATAAAATATACACATTTAATAATATGATGTCAAACTATTATTTCAATAAGATAATAAGAAACGACATAAAAACTGAAGTAATATCGTTAATTAATATAAATGTGGCATCATTTGTTAAAAATTTGTCAAGATTAAACTTTGCGGTAACGCCATCCCGTTCTTCCCGGTCACGGAGACGGGCTCTGCTCGGTGCTCAGTCGGGAAGTCGTCGACCAACAGACTGCAAGTTTCAGGAGTTCCCGTTCATTGCGTCAGTACAGCGGCTCGCCGCATCGACATCGCGCGTATAACCGTTTCCCCGACAAAAAATCGCGTACGCGTAACATTATTTTTGCGAATATATTTACTTTTTCTGTGCTTGTGACAATAATATAATGATCATGTAAATGAGTGTCTCGTGCTATTAACATAATCTACATGAAAAATGTCCGAAGTCGTTAAATATTCATGATAGAAACTCGTTGGTACCCGGGATCTGGCAGTGCTACGACTATCAACAGGTCAGTTTACATTTTGTCACGACATTAACAGATTTCATTGGTCTTATGAATTGTATTTTCTACAGTACTTTACAGAATGCACAATAAATTTATATGTACACATTTAAGAGAATATTTAAATAACTTTGAAATTATTTAATATTTCTTGGAGACTTTATTTCTTGGAATTTGTAATAATTGTGCTGAATTCATTGTTGAGTTTAAAACAAAGTTCTTTCTAACAAACACAATTTGGAAAACGTATGTTGAACACAACTTTAAAAGAGAAAAACAACCCAGTTGAAATACCGTTTTATTTTTAGAAGCACATGGGATACTATTAAGGTGATAACAAAAATTTAAAGAAAAAAGAACCTTGTCTGCGATGTATTAATGCATGATCTTGAAATATTTTAAGAGACAAACTTACATAGATTTGTACCGCATTACAAAATATTTGTTTAAAAATAACTGTAATCCAGATTACGCTCGGAAATCGGTAGCTATTTTGTTTTTTTTTTCAATGATAACATAATGAATGTATGTCTGTCTTAAAATATTTTTATAATAAATATTAAGATTTACTAATACAAGTTCTAAAGATAGAGCATAAATAATTTATGCAATTTCTAATACTGAATGCTATACTTATGCATAAATACAATTCAATAAGTTAGCTAATAGTAAGAGACAAATTTAAATACAATCCATCTATTTATTCAAAAGCAATTTTCTATTTGTAAATGTAGATATAGATCACAATGACAGTCAAAGCCTTTATACAGGATCTAGAACAGAACTGAAATTGTGTATTTAGATTCTAAATTGTTTATACAACGAGCAATTTAACAATCTGTCCCTTTTGTAGTCGCTTCGAGATTTGTATGCCTGTGAACGTGGGTCTGTTTACTATTAAAGAATAAAGGAAATGTCTTCTCCTAATATATAGTTAAATTCAAATTTCAGACAGTTCATTTCATTATATCAGTTAATTGCTATCCGCCTTCAAAGCTTAATTTTGTTGATATAATTTCCTCTACAAAGATCAAAGTGCAATACTTGTAGCTTGCTAAATGTATATAGAGGATATCAAAGTAAAATAAGGCAAACTGTTAACCCGGTAATAATCACTGTACTCTAAATGATGTCATTATAATAAATTATATATCATAAACATTATAATATCTATGTATAATAATATAATTAAAAAAATGATAATTATTTTTTTTAATAATAGGGATAGTGTACGATGCATGACAGTCTTATAGTCCATATTTTAATTCCCTCCATGTGACAATAGCGTGGGTATTTTCTATCGCTATTACTTTATGTCGATATTGGTTCCACTTCAGTGGATCCTTGGTGATGTTGGCATTTGGTCTTCTTATATAATGTCCTGTTCAACTTAATTTGCTCTAGAGAACTTTTGTGCTATTTAGATCTTGATATTTTATCTGATATATTGAAATCTACTAGGTTTTTGCTAACTACTTCGTACATGTTCATTTCAAAAGAAGGAAAATGAATTAAATAGACTAATTCTAGATTACGTATCAAGATAAACCTACAATTTTGAAATTAGACGTTCAGGAATACAACTATAAAAAGTGCATCTAACAGTACAGTAGTTTTTGCATAATGTTGGAATAAATCTGTGTGGTTCCTGCATAGAACAGGCCATCCCTTTCTACAACTATTAACAAAACCCCCCAAAGGGGAGGCTTATATTCAGCAGTGGACAGTTAAAGGCTGATATGATGATGATGATGGAATAAATACACAAATAGATAGATAGACAAAAATTCTAAAAAATATTGATTTAGTATGGATAGTTTTATTAAGACCTCATATTTTTTTTTAATATCCATATATAAATTATCTATATAAATATTTCTTTCTTTCATATACAGACTGTAACTAGTACAGTTTGATTATATTAATAAGATACTTATGAACTGTAAGATTATAGTATAATTAGTGATTGTAATAAATTGGGCTGATATTAAATCATCGAATCAAAATCGAAACTAATTCTATTAGATTTTGTTTCACACTTTAATTTCTTTAAACATTTTTACTAGTAATTTAAATTATTATCAGTTTCGATTGTCAGGGCTAAGAGGTTCGCTCAGTGAAATTGTTTTGTTTTTTGAAAACATTCATACTTACTACTTTTAATTACTTTAATTACTTACAAGACAATTAGTACTCATTTTTATCCTGTGTTCTTAACCAGCAGTATATAACATTTAAAATTATTGGCAGCTAAAAAAATTTAATGATGATGACTCGCCTATTGTTACAGTTTATCAGAGACCTAAATCTCGTTGAGAAGATTTACTGATCCTATCTTGGTAACGTGTAGTAACTTTTAGATCTTTACAATCAAATACACGGTCTATGTGCTATAGAGATTCCTGACAAAACTAAATATTATGTTACATATTTAATCTTTGTTACGATGTATAGAGAAAAATTCATACGCCATATTCATCTAAATAAATTAAATATTGGTCTTATTCAATCTATATTAGTTGAACCCAAATCATAGATTTTATAATATCTCTATCTCTGTAAATTATTGATACCCATTAATTATTCTCTTTTCGTGAGTAAGGAAAGTAGATAAAATCTTATCTGGGAAATCAGTTCAGGGCTGATATACCTGAAGAAGATAAAGCCGTTAAAAATTGAAACAAAAAAATACTGTACTAATAATTAAAAATATCTATTCACACGGACAATTTGACCTTTATCGTTTGATGGATTGAATTTTCATCTCTAACAGATTTTGTATGAGCATACATCCATTTTAATCCATCATATAATCTATGAAATGTGTTTATAAGTCTTGGATAAAATAAAATGCTGTATCTATGTAATATTAACATCTCAACTGCGAAATGTGTTTTTTATCGATAATAAGAACTATTCATAGTAAGTTTTAATTCACGATAAAATCAATTTAGAAAGTTATAGCCTTATTTCTACTATAGTATTCGTTTTGTGTATAGTCCTTAGATAATATAGATAGAGCATCGAGACTCAAAAATGTGTCAACTTTTTGTCAGCTAATTATCAAATTAGCTGACTCGTTTTGTTTTCTGTCAGTGTTTTATATACTTACGCATAAAATGTATCTTGTAAATGAGTGTTATAAAATGAGTGTTTACGCATTAAAAATATACAGAAATTATAAAACAAAATAAATATAGAAGTTATAAAGGAATCACTGATAACTATTTATTACGCAAAATTTTATGAAAAAGTTGACCCGTTTTTCTCAAAGCATTTCTATAGAGATACTTTATCTATATAATCTTAGGTAATTTGCATCTAATTTTAATTTTATTTTTAAACAGTATTTGGTTTTTCTGAGTACAATTTTTTTCATGTGCCTAAATAGTGGATATAAATTATAATTGATAAAATATAAAATTTTGTTTTTGTCTCACAATCTATCCCGGAAATTTAATTAGTAATAAAAATATTTAAATAATTACTTATATCACACGATTTTTAAAAACGTATTTGAGTTTATAGAGAAAGCAGATATAATTGATTTAACATTATATATTATATTGATGATTCTATTTTAAGAAAGCGATATAAAATGCAAATAGTTGTCAATAATTATTTTACTGAACTAGGTGTTATCTTGCGGAAGTGCATATCACTGGTTATTTGATTATATATATATCATCCAATTAGCAACTTAAAGATAGAATGTAGTTTGGAAAATGAGAACTCAAAGGCCGGCAGCACACCTGCAATGCCGCTGGTGTTGTGGGTGATCATGGGCGGCGGTAGTTACTTACCATCAGGTGAGCCGCATGCTCGTTTGCACCCTGTGTTGTAAAAAAAAAAGAACTGTGTGTATGAACTTTGATCAAAGCGAACTTTAGCCAAAACATAGTGGACAGAGCACCGATTCAATTTTGTATTATATTGTTAATTGTTACAAAATAAAAAAAAAATATTTTCAAAATGTTGTTTAGTATTTTTAAGTTTATCACATGAACCTAAGGCTCACTCCATGTTTTGAGAAACAAAGTGCAGTAATTTATACTTAAATAAATAAATATTCTTTGATGATAACACAACAGTTCCAAGTTGGATATTTTTAAAAAAGATAATATATATTTTTATATTACTCAAATGCTCCAATTTTAAAGAATTCTATGTTATTGAAATTAAGAGTTATAATACATTCAACCAACTTTATAATAGATGAGATTATTAATATGATCGATTTATCAGTACAGATAGTTGATGATTCCGTGCTTATAATTTTATTATCAAAATTGTAATAAATAATGAAGACATGAACACTAAAAAGTTATGAATAAAACATATATTCTATTATTGTCGAATACAATTATTGTCATGTCAATAAATGATAGGTACATAAATATGCGTAGTCTACTTCGAAAAGCTTGTTACATAGGTTCGATCATATCGTATCTGAACAATCCAAGAGTGGAATATAGATAACGGTAGTAGGTCACATCAGTAACATTTGCTACTGGGTATATCAGCTGATTCTATATGGGAAATTTGTATATTGTTTAATTTTAATAAATGCTTTTTTTATCGAGTTAGGTTCGGAAAAGAAATATAATTATTTTTAGGAATATCCAAATAGCACAGCTAGACGACAGTCAGAGATTATTGTGCTATATTTTTTTTTTTATTATAGAAACGTAAAATAGTAAGTCTTAATTTCTACTAAAAAATACCAATCTAAAGATAATCTTAGCATACTAATTCAATAGACAATAATATTTGCTCTCACAAAGTAGCGTTCATTTCTACTAAAATGTAACGTCCATTTTCTAGAGAAACACGTCATTTAGGACGCTCATTTCGATCAAATTCGTTCAACCGTATATGCATGATTGCGTAAAAAATGAACACCTATACTCTTTCACAAACTTTCTCATTTATAACATTAGTAAAAACGCATAATTACACTGTCCATAATGATTATTAACTGCAAATATTTTGCGAATTATTCACAA